GACCTGCTCAAACTAGGGACTGTGTCCAGTCAACAGAAGCAGGGAGGGATACGACAATAATCATAGCTGGATCAACCGGGCCCTTCAGCAGTACGAAGGCCCAYAATAGTGCAAAAACTGGGACGCAGGACCCRCTCCCCGGCAATCTTATCACTCTCCTGCGCTTGATAGGGGACGCTGGACCCGGTTTCCAGCACAGTGGTGTCATGTTCAAATATTGTAAAAGTTGTAAAATGATGTATTCAAAAGGGACGCTGGACCCGGTTTCCAGCAGGTGATGCTCCCCACCAATAGATGGAGTGGCCCGATAGGCAAAGCCTCAATCCTGGTGGTTCTCTTACCACCACCGGGATAGTGGTCTTGTACGAGGCCTTTTTCCAAAAAAAAAAAAAAAAAAAAAAAAAGGGAAAGAGTATGAGATAAGGGACCGAGAGAAAAAGAATGAGGGTAGCACTGAACATGGGCAGCAGGCTACTCTCTTCTTGTGTTTTTCAACAGAAATGATAGGCCCTGGCGGGGTATGATAGGCCAAACACGACCAAACGGATCTGAGGGTACAATAGGAAAAGCCAGACGAAATTTCTTTTTTTTTTTTTTGGGAAAAACTTCTGAGTGGGAAAAACCTACTTACCGAGGTGATAAGAGCATCCCCAGTAAGTAGGCCCCAGCATTGAAGGCTCCATCTATTGGTGGGGAGCTGCGCCTGCTGGAAATCGGGTCCAGCGTCCCTGTACAATGTGATGTGTAGAAGCTGGAAAACGGGTCCAGCGTTCCTATACAGTGATGAGTGTATATTCCTTTTTTTTTTTTCTTTTTTTTTTTTCTTTTTTTTTTTTGAGTAAACATCGCTGTGTCGTGGACCGTGCTAATGGAGGTGATAGGAGCATCCCCCATTAGCAGGCCCAGTTTTAGGATAGCTCCATCTATTGCTGGGGAGCAGCACCTGTTGGAAAGCGGGTCCAGCGTCCCTTTATACACTTTACAAAGGTTTGGAACAATGCAAATGACAGATAACATCGCTTGTTATTGCCGGGAGGTAACCCCGGTATCAATCAGTTTTCTACTAGTCTCATCTGCAGATCCATGCAGTCAGTGGCGCTTTTTGCAGTATTTATGAAGACCTTATGTCTAACACCCTCCCGTCCGTTTGTGTGTCCTCACTCATTCAAATCCTCATGCCTGATAACCCCTCGTCCGCTTGGATCTCTTCAGCATTGCTTTCGTTGTCTCAACTGTTCGGTGTCACCTGATTCCTTACCCGCACACCCTTTTCCCGCTATCCCCTTACTTTCTGTCCAGTCCTTTCAGTCTTGTTCAGTCTGGTACTGTAGGCCCTACTTCTCCGACAGTCTTGTTGTCTAACCCCGTGCTTGTCTGATGTTTGGTCGTTGTTGCTTCGTGCTCAGATCATCTCATTTGACTGGACGGGGCTTGACTCACCGGGGAAGAGGGGCTGGCAGGGGCCGAGACCGGGAGGGGGACAGAAAGGAAGAGGGGGGAGGGGGGGGCGGGGGGTCTAGGATCGTGGGCAAGGGGCAGGGTGGGTGATGGGGGAAACTAGAATAAAGTTTTGTTCTTGGTAGGGGACATGAAAGTGGGGTCTAGGGAGCCTTTCCCATGTCGGTTCCTTCGCCACCCACCGATTCCAGACTAAGTTTTCGTGGTCATCCAATGTGGCCAGCTTCCTGTTTTGGTCTAGCCATATTGATTGGAATATCTCTTTGCACTGTTGTCGCTCGGTCTGGTCTTTTGTGTTTGCAAGGTCCTTTTTGAGCTGCTTCCAGGCTGCTTGGGTATGGTTGGTGATTGTTGCAATCGCCACCTCCCGCGCTTGTGGATAGCCAAAGAAGCACTTGTCCCTTTCATGAGAGCACCGCATCCTCCAGGCCAGCATCAGCAGCGCAAGTCTCATGTATGAGAAGAGGTTTGCTGCAGAGGCATCCCATTTTTTGGAGTGAGGAGCGTGTTCACCCAGTAGTATGAGTGGAAGGCTCCAGGGAAGATGCTGGGCCGTGAGGTAGTGCCATAGCGAGTCCCACCAGCTCCATAGTTGCACCACCGTTGGGCAGGCCAGCAGACAGTGCTCTAGTGTTGCTCTCGCCGGTGGTGAGGACTTCCCGCAGTAGGAGCAGATCGGGGAAAGGATGCCGCGCTGCTCCAGCTCTGTGCGGGAGACAATCCAGTCTGGGGTGGGTAGGCATCTGTGGAGGATCTGCCACTGGAGAGCTCGGTGGGCAGTAGGCATGATTTTCGAGTATCGGGACCATGACAGGTCACTCAGATCCTGTTGGGTGAGCGGGGAATCCCTTTCCCATCTGTTCTTAACCACTTCTGTTATCGGGGGATTGACTCGTGCAGCCCTGTACCCGTCCTTGACTGTGTACTCCCATATGGGGGTCTGCTTTCCCGCCTTCCATTCCCACTCTGCAGGGTCAAAGGGCAGCTTGCTGATGGGGATGTTGGGCTCATATGCCCATTTTTGTTGTTGGTTGTTCTCGAGCACCCTCACCCTCATAAGTTGGTAAGGCGGTACCTCGCAGTCCCTCTCCTCTTGCCTGGTGAGCTCTGACCATCTTTCGCCAGCCCGGTCCATTTCGTAAGCTTCAAGCTTGGCCAGGTCCAGGCCTGTGCGTGCGACTCTGTACACAGCAGTCGGGATGGGGAGGGACCGAAACTGGACCACCCAGTCCCCGACCTTAAGTGTCGGGCCCGTTTTCAAGGCAAGCGTCCATCCTATGGGGATAGCCTCAATTATTTGGGTCCTTTTTTGGTCCAGATTTCTAACATTTTTTAGTTGTTCCTTGAGTTTGTCCAATGTTTTCCAGTTGGCTATTGTTACATCCCACAGGTCTCCGACTGTATAACATCCTTTTCTCACCCAGGCCAGCCATGCAGAATTTTGGTGAAGGGGGAATGTGTTTCCCACTTCATCCAAGATCTGCGGGTTCCCAAACAGTGGCTGTCTCCACACTTCGTGCCATCTCAGCGGCTTCGCGGTCTGCGCAGGGCCCTTGAACTGCGATTTCGTCAAAACGTTCATTTTTTATTTTTTGCGCGAAATTGAAAGTCCATTTTTTTCCGATTTGTGTATGTATTTTATGCAGTGTTTTATGGGTATAGGGGGTAAAGGGGTAAGGGGTAAGGGGTAAGGGGTAGGGGGTAATATGAGTAAGGGGTAAGGGGTAAGGGGTACGAGGTCATATGAAGTAACACATGAATGGTATTCAATCGGGCATGTCGCGTTGTTGCTTTGTTAAATACATTCGAACATTTTCATGCGTGTCTATCCAGTAGAGCCAATGATCTCTTTACATTTGCAAAAAAATAAACAAATGTTTTGCTTTCATAATGTCGTCTATCAAATGTCATTTGTTGCACAAGTAACTCCTATTTCGGTGTGTGACAAGTACATCTAAAGCGATCCGTCCCCTTATATTGTAGATGTTGTCGAAAGAGAAGTTGAATGGCGGGAAAAATCCTCTTGCCAACAGTGACGCATATGTTAGCATAAAGACACCGCATTCGTTAATGCCGCGCTGTCTAGAAGTGCCTGGCACATTCCATATGTGGTTGAAATCTTTTGTATCCACCACCTTTCCCTGTTCAACCGATCTTTCGAACAAGAATCTTGCGAAACCACCTGTCACTTTCCTTGCTAATTCTTTGTCAGGCGTAAGCGAGTCGTAGTACTCCATTTTTTGGCGTCTTAGGTCAGCTATTACTAGTGTCCAATGGTTGGAATTGCGGACATGGAACGGAGCTATTATTAAGTCCACGTCACCCACATCGATATCTGTCATCCACTTCTGCACTGCCCTGTATTGGTATTGCATGTCGTCGTCGAAAAATTTCGCGAAGAAGAAAGAACTCAAAATTGTTGTTATCGGGATGCGCCATTTTCCTTCTACTACTGTTCCGTCTTGTCCACTATCACACTCGCGATGGCTTATGCGACACATGTTGTCAAGCCTTACGAGGTTCAAATAAAAGTTAACTATTTCGTTGTTTAACCAATTGCCTTGATACAGTATCAAGCTCAAATCATGCCCGGTTAGTGTTAGTTCTTCTTTTGTTGGCCCGTTGTATGTGGATGTCCAGATCGTCCGATTCTCCGCTTGCACTGAATCTCGTAAATGTTGCACCGCAACCGTCTCCTTCTCCGATAACTTATCCGTTGCTAAGTGGATCGTCCATCCCTGTTTGCATCTTCATACTTCTTCTATGTTCCTCCTTTCTGCACATGACAATGCATTATGCCGCAGCGTAAGCTATCGTGATCGGGGCCTGCCATATTTGCATGCTCGAAACGGCGGGGAAAATTTCAATTGCTAAATCATCGCAACAAGATACTATAGCGAGTTGACATGAACACCCCGACCTCAATCTTCCTCGTAATATGGCGCATAACACAACTACAATTCTTGCCCAATTTTCGTGTACTTTTTGAAAGCAAATAGATCAATGATACTTTTCGCGATCTATGGTGGTTAACGGTAATCCTGCGTCTATCAGTTCTCTGATGTTCATGTTCAGTACTCTGGGCAGTATTTAGAATATAAGTTCACTATTCCAGCCTCGCTGTTTCACATATTTTCGTGTTTTTTTTTTCTTCTTCATTTTGTTAGAATGGTTTCCTGTTTTTAACTTCGTGGGGATTTAGGTTAAGACGACCATTCGCATCGCCCTAGAAGATGGCATAACAAGTTCTCTGAAATTAGAGGTGTCCTTGACACATGACAGGCAAAGTGCCCCATATAGTGTGTTTTCATATGCCTTTATTATAAAACCGTACCAAGCACACACATACAATTTAATCCACACACACAACCTAACGCTGGTGACGAGTCGACCTCTGCCTACTCAGACAGATGCACACACACTCACACACACAGACACACATACACACACACACATACACACACACACACACACATACACACACATACGTATCGAGATGGGGTACCCTCTATTATCGACACTACAGTTTCGAGAATTGCAGTGTCACAATAACACTTTCATTAAGATAACAATATAACCCAAAACGCGTTTACACCATTCCTGTCTAACATAGTTTTTTAACATAGTACCCAACGACAACCTATCAATTTAACAAGAAATGCGTAGACACCCCATGTGACGACCGGTGAATATCGCATCATGATTTGTGGCGACACATCAATATAACCTGAAACGTGTAAACGCCCATGCCCGTCTAAGGCCAGATCCAACGATTGTTGGCCCATCGTCGACCCCGCGCATGGGCGGCTCTGTCAATGTGTCCGACTCCATGTCGTCGCTGTCCTTGCGTATCATAGTGGAATCCCCCATTTGCATTTTCTGTGTCATTTGTTGAATACATGCTCGCAACTGTTCATTCTGTATGCGACCTGCGTTCGCACGTGTGTCCGTTTCGCAGCCTGCATCCCCTCTGGCCATCGCAACGATGGTGTTAGACCGATGACGTCTTGAGTCTTCAGAGAGGTGATGCTATCGATTCCTTGCACTACTGACACTTGTTTGATTTTCCAATCGATGGAGCTATACGACACACTTGATGCAAGGTCGTAGAACTTTGTGCTGAATTCTAGTTGTTTGTTCGCACGCAGTTGCTCAAACAAAGCTTTCGCCTTTGCCGCTACAGCCACCTCGGTTGCACCGACATTTTCTTGTGCAACCCGCCGAAAAAGTTGCGTCTTCGTCACGCTGTGCCATATCGCAGCGTCCTTTCTTTCCTTCGCGACCCACCCGCGGTCTCTTGTCTTCACAGCCATTTGCCACTTGCCCGCAAACATGCACGGTTCGAACACGCCCTCATGCCAGAGAATATGATGATCCCACTCCTCCTCCGATGACTCCTTGTACTTGTCTTGCAGCAAGTATGGCACTGAAGGGTCTTGAGCAAAGCCTTGAGGTAACGGTTTTCTTGGCACGAGCTTCGGCATGACTGCTGTCATATCCATGTCTTCATCTTCATCTGTGTCCATCGACGTGAGCGTTCGCTGCTCGGCCTGCGGTGCATGTGTCGATGATGGTCCAGCTGTCGGCGGGGTCATTTCACACCCATTCTCTCCTCCCCCTGTGTTGCCCCGTGAGTTAACAATTCCCTCACTCGCACCCACCGGGTTCGTTGGTACACCATTCTTTTCTCCCCTTGCATTCATTCTATGTTCCACGTCTCCCTCACTAGCATGTGTCGCTTCCAAACTCGACCTCGCCTTCCCCGCTTCTGCGTTGGTGCTCCCTTGCAGTTCCTTGGCACGTGCTGCCTGCGCCGAACGTCGTGTCGCGTGCGACGGAACGTCCAGGTCGGAGTCTGACGTGTCTTCGTCACAATCGATGTTGTTGAAGTTCCCCGCTTTACGTGCCACGTCCGCATAGTCCCTGCATGACAATGCTCTTTTCTTCATATTGAAATACAGATGCTCACAACGCGCTACGAACATGTGGAACGCACCCATGTGCGATCCGTGGTACTCGTTCATTTTTATCTCGAGTTCATTTTTCCTGATGACGTAGTCGTTATCAACCGCTGTCCGTGGAGCGTCACCAAACAAGTAAGCCCACACTTTCTCCCTCTTCCCGCCGAGCTTATAGTAAATGTCCCGGTCCTTGCGGTGCTCGACTTGGGGCTTTTCGAACCTGCATTTGTTCCTCGGATCCTTCACATAAAACTCCAAGAACTTGGAAAGGTATGTGAGCTCTTTTGTCGTGTCGTCACACGCAAACACGTGGTGTCCGGCGCGAGCGAGTTCCCAAATCAGTCCCGCATGCGCCCTGCCCAACAGCATCACGCCATCGTCCTCCCTCATGAACGAGTTGCATAGTTTTCGGAGACGTGCTGGCTCTCGTTCCATCCAAGAATAAACCGCGTTGGTGTCGCCCTCCACGCCGATACACTCCCCTGAGCACCTCACAAATTCACCCTCTTCAACGTTCAAATTTGTCAACTCGGCTCGCAATTTCGGCGCAACCATTATATTGTCCAAATTGCCGTTCTCGGCGTGGAGGACAATAGCCATCATGTCAGTGTACCAAACTGCAATGTTGCCGTACTTGTTCAAGGTTGTCGAAGGTGTATAGTGTCTGTACCATGACCCTGTGAGCACCTCAACATCATCGCAGTTGTACACACTCTGCATCACCTGTTTCTGGTGTTTCATCGGCGCGAAAATGATCAAGGCCCAGTTTTCGCCACAGCATGTCATGAGGAAAGCGTACAGTTTGGAAAAGGCGTCATCATCCCACAGAACACATTTCGGTGATGTTGACATATCAAGAATGGTTGCCCGTATCTTCATCCCCCTCGCCGTACCAACAACCTCCTCGTTGTCGGTGAGCACTCCCTTCGGTTCTATTTCAAATGGCAGGATCGTGGTAATCCTCTTCCCCACTTCCCAAAATATGTGACAAGCACTGGAGGATATCCGATTAACCTCCGTCCTCAGGTCGTCCAAGCAGTCAATTGCCTCGTAGATGAAACACTTGAGGTGGAACGGGGTTTCCTTGTACATGCCTTGGGTTGCCCCCAGTCCCGCACCGTTCTCACCATTAATCTCATCAGGACCGCCCAAACACCTCGGCACCTTCCTCGCCTTGTCGTCAGGGATGAGGTCGCGTTCCTCGGTCCATTTCTCATCCGCCAGACCGTTTTTGTTGTACCTCTCCAAGATGGTCGTACAACCGATGAAAAAGTCAGCGCTCCACTCTTCTTTTGACCTTCCCTCGGCCTTGAACAATATGTAGTTGAACATACGGACCATATATCTTTCACGCCGAGTATATTTAACCAGGTCCGCCATGTTGCATCTACCACGAGGTACCGAACGTGATGTCACGATGACATCACCACGCATCATGTGGTGAAGCGCCACTTGCTTCTCTCTCGCTGTCATATCGCCAAACAACTTGAAGATTGTCGGCGTCAAGTCAGGTATAGACACCGTTGCGCCTTGTGGCCCCTTCCTGGCCTTGATGCAGTGGAACATGACTTTTTTGTCGGAGTTGTCCTTGAGGAAGTATTGCCCAGGCAGCCTCCCTTCCACTTTCACCGGCAGGTCAATGTATCTCACACCGTCGACTCGCGGCAATAGCCCCTTCTCGTACATGTCGAAGAATTTATGTACTAGTGGCCATACTATTTCGCCGCATTGCGCAAGATTCATGTATCCGCGCATCTTGTTCGTCCAGTCCTTGCAGTAGTCGTTCACCAAGGACGAGTTCATGAGACCGGAATCAGGTGTCATTTTGCAAGCGGCGTTCATGAACTCTTCCCATTTCTTTTTTTGTTTCATTCCCTCGACGTCATTCGGGGACACGGTCCCTGGCGGACGGATCCGGCCATTCCTCTTATCCCATAATGTTCTAATTTGGCGCACAGATGACGAAAACGATCTCGGGATCGAACGCTCTTCCCTCGTGTTGCCGAACGTCGAGACGTACGGATATCCTCTCTTTCTGTCATCGTCAAAGTAGACAACACGTACGTGAGAGTACGATCTCAAGCCATACACTTTCTCGGTCGGTGACTTATCTTTAATGAGTCTGTTCATTGCCTCAGCCGTGTGCTGGCCAGCAACAGCATACCAGTTGTATGTATGAGCCAGTTCGAATTGCTCCGGTGTGATCCGTCTGCCTTGAGACCCGTCCGTGTTGGGCACAATGGGAACCAGGATGAAAGTCATGAAATCCCACTTCCCGTTGGTTTCCTTGGCCGCATGATGAATCGCATCATATATGGACTGCACCAACGTTTCGTCCAACATTTTATGGTTGAAGAGGATGTCACCTTCAGGGATTGACAAGATCTTCGTGACATCCACTTCAATGTGTTCCCTTTTCTTCTTTGCAAACCCATCTTCATCGAACTCCAAGAAGAAGCACCGTGTTGTGTCGATGGCTTCATCACGGGTGTCGGCGGAAGGTTGTGTCTGTTCCGAGACATCTCTTGGAGGAACCCCTTCGGCATCCTCTCCAGAGTCACCCTCATCCACCATCTGCTTTCTTTTCGGTGGACGTTTCTCCGCTTTTGTCGCCCTTGTCGACGCGGACCCTTTTCGTTTCTTCACGCTTTCAGCGACCGCCTCNCACCATCTGCTTTCTTTTCGGTGGACGTTTCTCCGCTTTTGTCGCCCTTGTCGACGCGGACCCTTTTCGTTTCTTCACGCTTTCCGCGACCGCCTCTTAAGAAGCTTTGAGCGCCTGTCGAGATGCAGCGACAGTGAGTTTCTTCGCAGCGCGCTTATCCGCCGCCGCCGTTGGACTTGTTGAAGATTGTCACTTCCTTTTCTGGACACTGGCCTCCGACCGCTCTCCTGTTGCGTCGTCGACCCCCACATCAGCCGACCGCTCTTGCCGTCCATCGTCATCACCTACAAGATAGGCATGATCATTTTCTCCATCGCCCTCGTCGTCCTCCTCATAGTATTGTTGAGACTCCCCACCCTCGCAGTCGTGCGTAGTTTCCTCACGATCCTCTCTCTCTCTCTCCCTCTCGCTGTTCTCCTCTTCGACGTCATCCTCATCGACACCACATTCATCGTCGTCGACGGCATGATTACCCTGTGGATGTCGATCAACACATACCCTAGAATCGTCCTCCGTTTCCTCGTCCGATCCTTCGCTTATCTCCCGCAGCGCCGCCTTCCTGGACGCACCACCTTCGTCCTTCTGGGAACTGGGAGAGGGACGAGTTGGCAGGGCCTTCCTTTTGTATGTAATGACAGGGGTGCCTTGGAATTGCCGGCTGGACGGTTGAGACGGTCCAACACACTCCATCCAGCGGGACGAACCCACAGGAGGACCATGCTCATCCTCGCCTGGTGGACGACGCGGCTGGCTCTGTTTGTTGCGGCGCCGGCCCCCACTCGCTAACGTCTGCTGCGTTGGAGAACTATGTGGCGTCCTTTGTCTCTCTATCATTGCTATACTGGGAAGATCCTCGTCCGGCGTGTCAAAAGGCACGAATGTCGGGGACATACGATGGCCGGCCTCAACCGTGGGACTGTTTCCGGATCTCCTGTAGCCGTTCGTTTTGGCGAGGAATTTAACGGGGCCAAGCATCGTCAACACACTCCCGTCTTCTTTCGGGGACACATCGAAGGCTTTCATGGTAATAGCCTTACCGCCATACCCCTTGAACATATTGTAATCAAGGCTTACTTTACAGTCGGCCTTCGCATGGTCCACTCCTTGTTCGTCGAACACCGTTGTGAGGAAAAACCTCCTGAACTTCCGTCCGTGCCCATCCACCCTCTCATCCTCGGATTTAATAATCCCTCCAACACACAACCAGTCGTCACCCGAGGCGTTCTTCAGAAACACATCGGCCCCACATCTCGCCTCCTGTAGCCCCCGCACCCAATCAAGGGCCCACTCCCTATCTCTATAGATTGTGCACGTGTTGTAGACTCTCTTTTCTGGGACAGCAGATGCTCCTCCTGATGGCAGGCACATTCCAAACGAAGGAACGGATCGCATTCATATTTCAAACCTTCCACCATCGCCTCACGTGAGTCGCCGACGCATTCGAGCGTCGCATGGTATAGGGCGTTATGAAAACGCCCTACCCCGTTCTGTTCCGCGAAGCAAGGCCGAGGGGGCACGGCGTTTCGAAAACGCCACACCCCGTCCGGTCATCGGAGACGAGAGGGAGCGGTAATACAGCGATCTCGAAGCGCCGCACCCGTCGGACCTTTCCACCTACGGGGCCGGGCTACGGCGTTCTGGGAACGCCATGCGGCCCACCTCCCTATCCTCTCCGAGAACTGGAGGGGGCACGGTGTTTCGAGACCCCCGTACCCCCGCTCCCACCCCCACCGAGAACCGTTGGGGGTACGGCGTTTCCGAAACGCCGAACCCCCTAGACCCTGTTCACATACAGGGGGAGGGGGCACGACGTTTCGAGAACGTCTTACCCCCGCTCCCACCCCCCACAGAGAAGCGGAGGGGGTACGGCGTTTTCGAAACGCCGCACCCCCTCGACCCTACTCACATACAGGGGCGATGGGGTACGGCATTTTGAAAACGCGGTTGCCCCTTCGGTTGCCGGGTGGGGGCGGGAGTGGGGGTACGGCGTTTCGAGAACGCCGCACCCCCGCTCCCACCCCCACCGAGAACCGGAGGGGGTACGGCGTTTTCGAAATGCCGTACCCCCTCGACCCTCTTCACGTACAAGGCCGAGGGGGTACGGCGTTTTCAAAACGCCGCACCCCCATTGGATGTCGGGAGGCGAAAGGAGCGGGGGTACGGCGTTTCGAGAACGCCGCACCCCCGCTCCCACCCCCACCGAGAACCGGAAGGGGGTACGGCGTTTTCAAAACGCCGCACCCCCATCGGTTGCCGGGAGGCGAAAGGAGCGGGGGTACGGCGTTTCGAGCACACCGTACCCCCGCTCCCAACCCCCTCCGAAAACCGGAGGGGGTACGGCATTTTCAAAAAAACGCCGTACCCCCTCGACCCTGTTCACATACAGGGCCACGGGGGTACGGCGTTTTGAAAATGCCGTACCCCCTTCGCTAGCCGGGAGGCGAAAGGAGCGGGGGTACTGCGTTTCGAGAACGCCGTAGCCCCGCTCCCAACCCCCTCCGAAAACCGGAGGGGGTACGGCGTTTCAAAACGCGGTACGCCCTCGACCCTGTTCACATACAGGGCTGAGGGGGTGCGGCGTTTTGAAAACGCCGTACCCCCTTCGGTAGCCGGGAGGCGAAAGGAGCGGGGGTACGGCGTTTCGAGAACGCCGTACCCCCGCTCCCACCCACACCGCGACCGGAGGTGGTACGGCATTTTCGAAACGCCGTACCCCCTTGACCCTGTTCACATACAAGGCCGAGGGGGTACGGCGTTTTGAAAACACCGTACCCCCTCCACCCTGTTCACATATAGGGCCGAGGGGGTACGGCGTTTGGAAAACGCCATACCCCCTCGACCCTGTTCACATACAGGGCAGAGGGGGTACCGCGTTTCGAGAACGCCATACACTCCA